AGAAAGCCTTTTTGCTTTTGCCATCAGGAGATCATGACAGTGTGACTGTCTGAAGGACAATGACATTAAAGCCATATTTTTGCACAGATTTTAACTTTTAAAGGCTATGGTCTTAAACTTTTGATCAGCTGATGACCAGCCTGTTTGAGTTTAAATGCAGTTTTCAATAAATTGCCTACTCTCTATTTTTTGTCTCTTGATCTTGTTTCTTCTTTTGGCATTTTGAAGAAGTACTTACAACCTGGTTGCGATCCACCAGTGCGAAGTGTGAATACTTGTAATATTTTCCTTGGTCTTAAGATTTTGTTCAGGAGTGTATATATAGCTGGGGTCAGAGCACAGGGTCAGCGATGAGCAGATAGGGGTAAGGGCCTTGTTCAAGGGCCCAGCAGTGGCAGCTTGGCGGCACTGGGGTTTTTTTCTGATCAGTAACCCAGAGCCTTAACCATTGAGCCACCACTGCCCAAATGATGTGAGGTTTATTTTAAGTTGTCAGTAATTACATTTGCTGTAAAGTTGTACCAATCCTGATCTGGTATTTTCTCCACAGATGAAAAATGGAATGAGCCCTTCAAATATGGTAAGAGTATCATAGTAATTTTTTATTTAGTATTATCCATAGCATATACTTAGAGAGAAGATTTGCCAGATAGAAAAATCACATGCAAGATAGAAAAACATATTGAAACGCAATACATGTTTAATATTTAATTTGTGACACACATCATGCCACACTGAAAAGCAAAGCATTAATTGCATTGGTCTTTTGATCTTTTCTATTGCTTGATAGCTTTTCTATCTGGCGCTGAATGTTCTCTATACATACTTACCATATAATGAAATTGATAATTCATTCATACTGTATACTTTTAAGGAAACTAAAGAAAGAAATGAAAGCATGAAATCTATATTGTTTGTATGGGTAATGACAGTCTTTTTCTTTGCCTTTAAAACTTTAAATTCAATTAAAATTTTGTTGACTTTTTAAGCTAAGATATGCTACATATTCTAAATTTCTCCCCATGTTGAAAGACTTGGACAATATTCAAACGTAATATTGTTAGTTGAAGCTGACAGTGAATTCAGATTTTCTCAAATTGGAATTCAGAATTGATTAAACACTATCACTGAGTGTTTTTGAACTCTTATTTAGTAAAAATGCATTTATTTTCCCCCTGAGGTCTGGTTTACTCATGTATACATTTTTCTCCCTCCCCCAACAGATTATAGCTCTCTGAGGCATGCAGGACTGACTATAGCTGCTGTACTCTTCCTTTTGGGCATCATGGTGATTACATGTGAGTAAATGGCAAAGCCATTTAGATACAATCTTCTGATATAATTGTGGTATTGTACTACAATATATCAGCCAATTACACTTGTGCACATTGGGCCTCATTTATCAATCTTTTACTGAAGTTGTGTGTAAATGTTTGCATAAGCCAAACCGAACAAAAATTTTCTGCCAGATTTGCAAAAGTTTCAGAAAGGCTGATTTTCTTTGTACTTGCATGTGTATGAATCACCTAAAAGGTAAAGCCTGAAAGACAGAAATTTAAGTTATTTTGACTTACTTGTATGCCAGTAAAAGTATTTTATAATATATGATATTAATAGAAAATGTGTGCTAAATCTTCCATTAGTGGAAGCATTTGTTTACGGCTTACAGCTATGCACAGACAGACTTGCCCCTCCTCCGTTCATACAGCATCATTTCTTTTGTCATAATTAATTAAAATAATATAAAACAACTAGTTTTCACAAAATGTTTTCGATGGTACTCTTATTCCCTGAGCTAATGAACTAGTATGAGCATGTGTTTTTGATAGAGACTGAAAAAGAACTTCTATAATTTGCTCTGGATAAGGCCATCTACTAAATGCTGTAAATATAATAAAACAAGCAATTTAAATGTGACAATATATTCCATATATAAAACTGCAGTGATATATGCAAATTATATGAGACGTTAATCAAGTCAACATTACATTAGTTAGTCTTTTTATGTGTAAACTCACACACTCAGGAGCAAAATTCAAGGGTTTTCATGAACACCAAATTTCTTTTGTAAACAATAGTAAAAAAAAAAAAAA